GTTGCCTAAAAAAAAAAAGGAAGAAGAAAGGGAAAAAAAAAACGAAGTCTTTCTTCATCCTGAGATCCAACACTTCCATATTATTCCACATTATTCTTTGATGGATAAAGTATTTTACAGTGGTTTTGTTCCCCACCCCACCCCTTTCTGGATTGCTTGGAATCCCCCAAACTATCAACTTCTGCTCTGGGTGTCAGTAAGCCATGATGAGTCTCATGATTCCCTGTTTACCACTGAATAGAGACTCTTGTGAGCACTCAGGAGTGGAGGCACCATAATGGGCTGCAATCTGCAAAATTGGAGGGAGAATGTACCTCCCTGAGATCACAGATCTATCCAGATCTTGAACTGAGCAAACCTCAAAGTGGGGAGTGGGGGCCGGGGTGGGGAGGGGACCTTCTTCAGTCTCTCCCCCCACAGAATTTGTCTTGGTACTAAGTTTTTGGTCTGAGGTCTATACATTATTTGGAGAGATGGCTCACTTAGTGTCAGCTCAACTCGCACCATATAGGGAAGCTACTAGCTGGCCTCCAACTATTCTGAATTTTACCAGCTTCAAAGTCAAGTTCCTTCAACTACAAGCTGACACTTGCCTGCCTATTGCTTTTATATCGCAATAATTAGCTGTCTACCCCTTTTCATTTACGCCTACTCCACCTCATGAGTCTTCCCTCATAATAACAACAATAACAACAACAAAAAAGAGTTGAACAGAATCATCTGACACAATGATCATGTCTAACAATGCTTGTAACATTCTAGAGTCCTCCACTTCTCCAATGACAGGAAGGAGGCCATGCACCTTTCCAAGACATGAAATTGTCTCTAGGGCCCAACAGCTAAACTCATATATATGCCCTCATGCCCCTTGGGTCCCTCAGAGAATTCCAAGGTGGGAGAAGGTAGAGGGAAGTTTATAGCCTGCTCAGAGGAGTAGATGTGGAGCAGTCTTGTGGTGAATAGATTCCCTCTGAGAGAAATGAAGAGCCATCTCCGCCTCCCCAACACTACACTTACGTAAACCCATACAGGCCATTTCTCTGATGGTTTACAATAATCTCTAATCCATTGGCTAGAGAGCTGGGTAGCCTAAAAGCTAATATTTTGAGAGGGATAAAATCAATGTACCCTACAGAAAAATAACAAACACCCATCAGAGAAATTCTAAGGGGGCTTCTTCTCTTGGCTCACTTCCCATGTACTGGGAAGAAAGCCTTCTTCTAGTTCTTTCCTTGAGAGAAATGTAAACTTTGGAATTCAAATGAAAACACAAACATGGACTAAAGTTTTATTGCCAGAGATGAGAGCAAACAGACTCTGAGACTAAGAGGAACTCCCTGAGGAGCCCCTATATTCCAGCTTCCTGTTTGCATCATTACTTTTGCCGTCATTCAGGCAGCAGCGAAAAATAAAAAAGTACCAGGGTCAGCAGCCCTGCAGATGGCAAGGATGCGGCAGATGTTTTTACAATGCACTACAGTTTACAAAGAGTAGTCTGGAAAGGCCCTCAGGGGCCATCTAATCCAGTCCCCTCATTTTACAGACCCATTGAGTTGACATAACTTACCCAGCGTCACCCAGGGTAGTGGTGGGTTGGCGAACCAAAATGAGCAGTCTTTTCACTGTACCTTGGGCATTGTTTCATTAGATTCTTCCAACAACCCTCTGAGGGTCCCAGGGCAGGCATTATCGGCCCCATTTCATAGATGAAGAAACTGACGGAGGCATTGTAGGACTTTCCCAAGGTCTCATAGCTAAAAAGTAGCGGAATGCAGGACTGCAAGCCAGACCTAGAGCTCTTTCTGTGTCTGTGACCCCTTTACAGCTTTAGGGTTAGTCTGCCCTTCCCTTGCAACAGTCATTTAAAAGTTAGAGTGTTCAACAGCTGAATCCATATACATTAGTCAAACACGACTATCCTTCCTTCCAAAAACAATAGTTTTTAGGCTGGTGTAGAAAACATAAAGTTTTCACACTTATGCGACACATCTGCTATTATTATTGTTGCTGTTGTTATTATGTCAAAAGAATTGTTATAATAGCATTCTTTTTTTTTTTTTTTTTAGGCAATTGGGGTTAAGTGACTTGCCCAGGGTCACACAGCTAGTATGTGTCAAGTGTTTGGTCTGAGGCTGAATTTGAACTCAGGTTCTCCTGACTTCAGGGCCGGTGCTCTATCCACTGTGCCACCTAGCTGCCCCTGTAATAGCATTCTTGTTGCTATTAGAGATCATTAGTATGATTCTCCCCTCCACCTGCTGGAAGGTGCCAAGAGGAAGGTTTTCCTTCCACTTCTGAATACTCTTCTGGAGTCAGGCTCATATTTCCTTTTAGGAGACAATGGCCCCTGAATCTGGTAGCCTCCAATCACATCTGGTTACTTTGTTCCTAGGACAGGCTAGGAGACCAGATGCCTGCAGTGGGGGATTCCTTCCTAGGTTCAGGATAGCACTCCTTGGTGGTGCTCCCCTCTGCCCTGTTCCTCCTCACCACCCCCTGGGGGGTGGCATGAACCACCCCCCCCTTCTGTAGACACTCAGCTGAATGATATTCAGGGAAATTGTTACCTTTTCATTTCTGGGTTCTGGTTCTCTTCTCCCTCCGGCCTTCAGGTTGAGAAGTGGAAGTAGCTACAGCAAGGACTGAGGGCCCTTGTCTGGGAGCCAGACTTAATGAGAGTTTTTATCAAATGAGGTCATATCTTAGGGCCAGACTTTAAGGACTGATTAACCCGAGGCCTACTGTACTTAAGACTCTGCTACCAGAAGAGGCAAGAATGGGGTGCTTGGAGTCTGTGGATCTGGGGCTGAGTTTTTTTTGTTTGTTTGTTTTGTTTTCTCCATAAAAGAAACCGGCCATTGCCAGGTACTTTGTCCTCTGGTGAGATAAAGTCCATTGGCACCACCTCTGGCTTGGAAAGCTCAATTTGTAGACTTTACCTAGTAAAAAAAAAAAGCAAGCTGTGCTTTGCGTCATTTATATCCACTTCTCATTCTTTGAGTCAGCCTGACAGGAGGGTAGGAGTTCACAAGGGGGAAAGGTTATAGAAAGTAGCAATATATCATACAGAAACAGACTCTTCCAGCTGTAAAAGGCTTTAAAGACCAATTAGTTTGATCATTCATTTAGAGATTTTAGGATTAGACTAAGATGTTTGCTATAACAATTATTTTAAGTAGGAGGGATTAGAAAAACCAAACATGAAGGCTATTCAGAGGTCACCATCATTACAACCATTAGAGATGGCATGGTAGGTGGTGTAGTAGATTGAATATTGGACTTGGAATCAGGAAAGACCTGAATTCAAATCCTATCCAAGCCACTTATTGGCTTTGTGACCCTGGGTAAATCATCTAATCTCCCTAAGCCTTGGTTTCCATATCTGTAAAACAGGGTCAATAATATCTCTTACCTTACAGGGTTGATGTCAAGATCAAATGAGATAATACCTGTAAAGCACTCTGAGAATCTCTATGTGTTATTTATTATGATTGTTAGTTATTAGGATCCCAGTTATTCCTACTGCTTAGGAGAGACCAGGTTGCTGTGATGTAAACTGGGTGATAGAGTTTGAGAATGCTGAAAAAAGGGCAACAGATATCTGTCTGAGCCTTTGGGGGAGGGGCAGGGGGAGTCAGACTGCTGGTCACAGCTGTTAGTTATGTCCTAAGCTTATTTAAGATGTATGTCTGAATATACTCCAGATGCTAGTGTAAGAGGCATGGTGGGAGAAACTAGTCACTGGGTATGTGAAGGGAAGTTTAAGAAGGGACAATCAGGTCAAAAGGCAACCTTCTTTTATATATCATTCGTTCATCTCTTATCTCTATCTCTATCTTTATATCTATCTATCTACCTATCCATCTGTTCATATTTTTATGAGAAGGGTGGGGCGAGGGAGCTTTTCTAGTAACTCTTTCTTTATGTAAGTCAGCATGCTGCTTTACATATGTGGACATGGAAGCAGAGAATGGAAATTGACCATTAAGAGTTGGCAATATTCTTCAAGCCCAGAGTCCAGCCCCTTTATTTTGTAGATAAGGAAGCTAATTCCCAGAGAAATGAAGATACCTGGCCGAAGTCACACAGTGAGTTAGTGGGATAGCCAGGTTTTCTGACTCCCAACCACGTGATGCCACCTATGAGGGAAAAAAAGTGAGAAAAGGACCAGAGCAAGTATTGAGTTATCAGGGGATTGGCCATCACCCTGTGCCTGGCTCCCTCTTTAAACATTCTCAGAGAGTACTGTGTCATCTGACTATAAGGCAGTAAAACTCACTCCCCACTTCCTTGCCCCTTGCGCCCCTGGATAATGTCCTACAGGCTATTGTAGACATATCCATCATGTAGATGCATTCATCAGCCATCTGTACTGAGTTGTTGGACAGTTGTCCTTACTTATGAAATCAGAGGCAGGTACCAGGTGTATTAGCCACTGGTTAGCCCTCTGTTGGTAATGCTTAAGGAAAAGAGAAAACTTGGCTTCCCATCAGTATAAAAAAAATTGTGACCACTATGGAACAATAAGCTATGGATATAGAACACAGGTAGAGCTGTTAACTAAGAATTTTTGTAGAACGAGGAGGCTGAGGAGCAAGGCAGAGCGAGGTGCACCCATATGGGGTATAAAAGTTTGGTGGGCAGGGGGGAGCACAGTTTCAGGATACCTCCAAGCTGATGCTGAAGGACTGACCATTGATGGAAAAAGGAATGGGACAGAGCACAGATTGTAATGTAGTGGCTGGTTGAGGAGACAGAGTCCATTTCAGGATAGCAATGCCTGTGTCTTCTATGTTTTGGTATCCTGGTGCAAAGGCCCAGTTGCCTTACCTTAGTTATGGTTGCAGATCCAGAAGTCCCACCCAATAACAGGAGACACAATAACCCAAGGAGAGACAATAACCCAAATGTGCCAAGTCTGAGGGCAGCCTCTTTCAAGATCACAACTGAACCTCCTTCCTCCTTCCTCTGAGGTGTGAAGACCTTCACAACTTGCCTCTCTGATAACCTTGATATGTTGCATCCTCTGTCCTCAGTCCCTCTCCTTTTGTTTTTATTCTATAATTCCCTGGCCCTTCTGTTTTTTCTTGTGTGAATTAACATTTACCATAATAAATGACCTATTGTTTTATGAGTTATTGGTATTTCTGATTATTTTGTGAAATCTTTTTAAGCCTCAAGATTGATGAAACAGATTGGGGGGCCTCAATAATATGAAATGTGGAATTATCAACTGGGAAAGAAGTAAGAGCTAGGCATCTTGAAGCTATAGAGCAGCCAGGGAGGTACAATGGAAAGAACACTGGCTTTTGGAGTCAGAACGACACAGGTTTAAATCCAACCTCTGAATGCACCTATATGATCTTAGGTAAGTCAATTAACTTCCCTGGGCCTCAGTTTCCTGCATTGTAAAATGAGGCTGGACTGGATGGGGGGGGTCAAACTCAAATAGAAATGAAGCCATTAAACTGTATATGAGCATCTCTGTGAGTTGCATATTGATTTAGAAAATCGCATATTAACATTATCTATGTTCTACTATATTTTTATTTATTTTGTTGAATTTTCCCAATGACATTTTGATCTGGTTCTGGGTTACACAGGGGAGGGGCCATGTATTTGACACCTCTGGATTAGATAACCTCTAAGGTCTCTTCTTACTCTTCATCAATGACTCAATGACTAGGACCCAAGTCTTCTGTTGTTCAGTCTTTTCAGTTCATTTCTCAGCCTGGAGCTGGTAGCCCACTAGGGAAGGACTTGGCGTTCAGTGTAGTCCATCTGGCCTACTTCTGGAACAGGTCTTCGTACAAGGAAATATGGGCTTGAAATTCCTCTCTGCTGCTCCTTGAAATGGAAGCCTTGAGTGGTTTGTTCAAAGCAATTAGCAAGCTGGAAACCACACCTGAGTCATATGGGGAAGCAGCCATCACTGGCAAGTGAAAGACCAGGGAGGCTGTAATCCCTCTCCATTGCCCTTTCTCCTAAAGAGACGCCCTCTGCACCTCAGAGCTGAGGCAGAACCACTCCGCTGATTTATCACCTCCAGGAGTGGATTGCCTGGCAAGCCCCACCGATAACAAATCTCCAGGCAGCGAGGAATGAAGCAGGTGACTAGCGCTGTATACAGAGCCCATAAACAAGAAAGACTCCTCTGCTCCTTTAGGGCTGAAGGCAGGGCCCTGGCAACTTGCCCGGGAAGGCCCAATGGGCTCTGCATCCCACCAAGTGCATCTGGAGCTGGAGGCCAAGCAGCTGACATTCCATCACTCTCTCTGTGGGAATTTCCTGAGTGAAGCTGCCAAACAGGAGACTGAAAAGCCTGGCAAATAGCTTTCAAAAACCTTAACTAGCTCATAGGAATTCTTGCAGGCTCCTTCAGGATATTTATCCTATCTGTATAGATAGATAAAGGTAAGAAGGAAGGAAGGAAGGAGGGAGAAAGAAAGGGAAGGAAGGAGAGAAAGAAGGAAGGAGGACAGGAGTGAATAAGTGAAGGAAGGAAGGAAAGGAGGGAAGGACAGAGAGAAAGGAAGAGAAAGGAAGGGAGGGAGGGAAGGAAAGAAGGAAGGGAGGAAAAAAGGGAGGGAGGAGGGAGGAAAAGAAAGAGGAAGGCAGGGAGGGAGGAAGGGATGGAAGGAAGGAAGGAAGGAAGGAAGGAAAGAAGGAAGGAAGGA